TTCGAACCCGCCACCTTAGGTGTATGTGGCTGGCGCCTTAACCGCTTGAGCCACAGGCGCCGAGCCGTAAGATTGGTTTTCATTGAAAGCTAAACTCAAGAAGTGTATATTTTATTTTAGTATTAAATAATTGCAGGCTCTCAGAAGCAAGTAAGACCAAACTAATCTTTTCCAATGCGAATATTTTTCTGAGCAATTACTAATGAGGAATTAAATGATAAAAGATGGGAACAAGAGAACTTACCCCTTCTTTCTTGCCTTGCCAAAGCATTTTTCTTTTTTTCTCTTGCTCAGCAAATTTCATTGGATTCACAGCAGCTGGGTTATAATAGCTAGGTACAGCTATTCCAGTCTCTGCCAAAGCTTTAGCTTGCAGGGCTGCCATTTGAGCAGCCATAGCTATCTGAGGTGTTACTTGTGTTCCTGATGCCAATAGGGCAGCAACATTTAGAACAGAACCTCCAGTAGCGGCAGCTGCTAAAGAGAATATAAGTATAAATTTCAAGACAAACAAACTCCTTCTAATTTACATTAGTACATTATTTATACGTAAGTTAACAATGTGCAAAAAGACCAAATTATTTTCACTAAAGATAGCTTATAGTCATAATACTACAGATCATAGCTTCGCCCCATTGGCTCCTCAGCCAAGCACATACACTGAATGTCTGAACCTGTGTACATTAAGCTTATAAATAACATTTTGGCAAACAGAGTGCTCATCAGTGGGCATACTTCTGTAAACATCCCTAACATATGAAGATGTTTCTAAGGATAAAGAGAATTTTGAATACAGTAAGAAGATAGTAAGAAAAGTATGATTTCAGTGGAAAGAAACTACAGTGCTTATAGTTTTCATAGACATCTCATTTGACACACACAAAAACATTAAGAAATATTAAACAGGCATTATGCACAGATAACAGACACTAAGGCCAGATCCTATAAAGGTTAGGTACTAGGCTTTGTATTTCCATTGTGATTGAGTCGGTCCTCCAAAAACAGACTTTTCTAATTACAAATTTTTGTTAGTCCAGAATATATAACTTTAGAAAATTCTTTAATTACCTACATGCGTCCAATTATAGTTTTGCTATAATTATGTATATGAAACAAAAATGGCAGTAAAAATTTGGAGTGTTAAAAAAAAAAAACAAAAACCCAGTACATGTGAAAAATAAAAAAACTTCCCAGACTAAATTTCATATGGAATCAACAGTAAGCTCTCCTAACCTTCAACCATCCATAGACAATGTTTTTGTGTTGTTTAAAAAACTTGACTTACTGTGGGCGATGCCTATGGCTCAGTGAGTAGGGCATTGACCCCATATACCGAGGGTGGCAGGTTCAAACCCAGTCCTGGCCAAACTACAACAAAAATAGTCAGGTGTTGTGGTGGGTGCTTGTAGTCCCAGCTACTCCGGAGGTTGAGGCAAGAGAATAGCCTAAGCCCAGGAGTTGGAGGTTGCTGTGAGCTGTGATGCCACAGCACTCTATCAAGAGCAATAAAGTGAGACTCTGTCTCTAAAAAACAAACAAACAAAAAAACCCTTGACTTATTGCAAGAGTGAGAAATAGAGAATAGTATATATTTGAGATCAGTTCACTTCAATAACCTGTATTCCCCAGATCATAACTAAAAGATACTTGCAGGAATGATTACATGAACAGGTATGAAAACAGTCACTATTCACTTATCAAAAAATCATCTGCCCAGACTAAGTCAGAAATATATAAAGAAATACATGAAATGAGAAAACAGTCAAAGTAAAATTTTTTCAGTGTACTGACAGGTAGTAGAGGTAGGGATCATAGGTGTTTTATTTTCAATTACTTTTCTGTGTTTTTCAAATTTTCTACAGAGAACATGCCATAGTTCCATAATAAAAAAAAATTACCTGCAGCAATTTCTTGTTGTTTTTGTTTTTCAACCATTTCCTTCTCTCGTTGTTCTTGTAATTTCTTTGCTCTTTCCAACCTGAAAGGATAATTAAAATACCTTTAAAATAACTTAGCATAAAACTATTATGCATCTTTACACCTCTGTAAACATGTAAAGTGATATTTTACACAGCATTTTAAATTAATGTTTAACACCCCTTCCTCAACTGGTATTTGTATGCAGAGAAAAAGCAATCATTCTTAAGATGGGTCACAGTAAAAAAGTTTAATAGTGGCTTTAAACATTTTTGAATTGAGTACTCAAAAACTGGAACTGGTATGTCTTTTATATGCAGTTCCCACAAAAATGAATGATAAATTAAAAATTATTCAAATCTTTACCAGTGCTGGTTGTAAGAATTAAAAATAAAATCTTACAAATAACTATTGTAAACTAAGTATATTTCAGGGCATGTTAAGTAGTAAATGTAAGTTTATAGAAGTACCTAAATCAGCGGTTCTCAACCTGTGGGTTGCGACCCACAGGAACTGTATTAAAAGGCTGTGGCATTCGGAAAGTTGAGAACCACTGACCTAAATGGTTGTTGGGGAAGAATGAGCCATGAGCCCAATCAAAACATCCAGATAATGTTTGTTAAGTGTGAACAGATTTTATTATAGGCTCCAGCTTAGTAAAAATCAAAAAGCCAAAAATGAAAGGGCAAACTGTCATTCTCTGTAACTCAATAAAATGGAAGGAAACACCCTCTTAATTGGGAACATGATACAACTTCATTCCCCCCCAAATTAAAAACAAATACTAAATTTACTAATGAAAATGCATTATCAATGCATTGTCAGGCCTGCTTTTCCTATATAGTAAATAATATATAATAATATATCTTCATAGTGAGTTCTTGAAAGATAGATTCCTTTTCATAAAAAATATTACTTGATTTGCCAATTATAAGCGAAATGCTACCCACTCTCATTTGGTATAAAGGGATAAGGATTCCAGAAAAGGGGGGTTTTTTTGGATAAAAGAAAACCATGGATAAAATACAGTGGAAGTAAATTGGGAGTTGCTGAAATTTACATATAGGGAATTTAACCACTTACGATCTTATTCCCTCTTATTGAGCACATATGCAAGAAAGATGTAGTATAGACTTGATTTTTTGTCCTTGAGAATAAAACCGTTTCAAAGCAGCCACAGAATAATCAGTATTCTAAAATTAGAGGACTTCATGTAAACTTTTCGCCTGAAAGTTCCCCAGTAGTATGTTTGTATCAATAAAAGTTTCCAATGCTAGTAACAGCTTCACTTTATAAAATCCAAAATCTAAAACAGAATAAAAGTATAGTATACAAGTAAATAAGAGTAAACTTTAGGGCTTTAAAAACACCTGTTGGATTTTATGGTAAATTATTTCCTAATTCTGTTGATTTTAGTTCCAGAAAGAAAATACCAGTGAAAACTATTGGATTCATTAAAATGGCCACTGCAGGTTTGAAATTAACACCATTCACTACGGTGAACGGGATGAAGAAGGGGTGAGCTCACACCTTTGCTGCTGCTGTTCAGCTGGAGTTTCTGCCAGGCTGGGTTCACAGGGCAGCAGCACATCAGGTTACATTGTGATAACTGTATTTTTATAATAAAAAAAAAATACAAACTCAATTTCGTAAAGAAAAAAAGTTAAAATCCCAAGAAGTCTATTTTTCAGAACATGGGAAAACCTGCAAACAAGTGCTTAGATTTTATTTTACTTCTTGCCTCTCTGTATGAGGCCATTCGTTGAATAGTTTGCAGATTTCAATCAGACAGCCCTGCTGCGTGGTTCCACAATTATTTGTCTTTGAAATAGTAGAAGAGTTATCAGAAATCAAAGTTTACAAGAACAAGTAAATTGGTTTATAATGTGTATCTTATTTGGTACCTTCAAAATAAGAAAACTATCAACAGAATTCTTATTATTTTCTTGATGGAGAAAATAAAAAAGGCAAAGCCATATTAGAGGCAAAATTAATAGTTCTTGAACCAGATTTATGACTCAAAATATTATTGGTAGTCTAAATTTCTTAAGAAAAATGAATCATTTAATTTTAAAGAAAAAAAGGGATACTGTTGGAGAAATCTCAATCTTTCTAGTTGTACAAACATTCAAGAAGAGAATTAACAAAGTACTTACATAGTTCTAGATCACGAAGGTGCCACAATATTTATAATTAAAGTATTCCAAGTATCCGTGGCTAAAGAAATTCATTTTATCTAAACAATTTAGCATCTACTTAAAGTTGAAAAGGGAAAAATGAGTAAGAAGTTTACGTACCTCCTAGCTAAAGCTTCCTGTGCATCCATTGCTGTGTTTCTGCCTCTGAACGGAGGTGGGCTAGGAGTCCGGCTTAAACTTCTGCTAAATCTTCTTGGTTTTTCAATTCTCTTCTTTCTATCTCTGCAGTAAATCACAATTTACACGTCAATTACTTGAGAACCACCATAGTCAAGACTCTCTCTATATCAACAACCTCCTTAAGCTAACTTAATTTTCATAGACTGGACATATACTACATGGACCAGTGGCAGGCCTGGTTCCTTATGTTGACCACTTTGTTAGTCTCTTGGGTGGTTAACTTACAGAGGTTCTACTGTATGTACACATAATTCAACAAAAATCTGTATGATACAAAAACATGCGTTTTGAACCCTTTCCTTCCTTTTTGCCTTTTCTGTACATCTTATGTAGTTGTAAGTTTTTTTAAAAGTTGATTTAACAGGGCCAGGCACAGTGGCTCATGCCTGTAATCCCAGCACTCTGGGAGGCCAGGGCAGGTGGTTCGCCTGAGCTCAGGAGTTCAAGACCAGCCTGACAATGAGTGAGACCCTGTCTCTAAAAATAGCCAGGTGTTGTGGTGGCTGCCTGTAGTCTTAGCTACTTGGGGGAGGCTAAGGCAAGAGGATTGCTTGAGCCGAAGCGTTTGAGGTTGCTGTGAGCTATGACACCACAGCATTCTACCAAGTGCAATAAAGTGAGACTCTGTCTCGTAAAAAAAGTTGACTTTAACAACTTGTTAAAAGCTGGACACACTAAAAATAAAATTAGCTTTGTATATGAGTCATTTTATACTCCTGTAGGTCAGTATATCCACAATAGGGACTGACAAGTCAAATGTTCCTACTATTTTAATTTATAATAAATAAATTTGTAAATACTTTCAAAAGCACAAAGTGACTGAAATTACTACTAAAAGATTAATGGTCAGGCACAGTGGCTCACGCCTGGAATCCTAATACTTTGAAAGGCCCAGGCAAAAGAATTCCTGAGGCCAGGAATTCAAGACCAGCCTGAATACAGCTCTACTTTTTTTCTAGTAAAAAGAAGAGTTTTGGGGGGATAAAAATAGAAAAATCAGCTTGGCATTGTGGCATGTACCTAAAGTCTTAATTTCTCCAGACACTAAATCAGGAGAATTGCTTGAGCCTGGGTACAATGAGCTATGATAACACCACCGCACGCCAGCCTGGACAACAGAGCAAAACTCTGTCTAAAAAAGAAAAAAACAAGGGGAGAAGGGCGCGTGGTGGCTCACTGGTATAATCCCAGCACTCTGGGAGGCCAACTTGGTGGACTGCTTGAGCTCAGGAGACCAGTCTGAGCCAAAAGCAAGACACTGTCTCTACTAAAAATAGAAAAAGTAACCGGGTGTTGCAGTGGGCACTTAGAGTCCCATCTATTTACATCTACTTTAGGCTGAGACAGGGAGGACCGCTTGAACCCAGGATTTGAGATTGCTGTGAGGTTAGCATTTGCCACAGAACTCTAGCCGGTGCAACAGAGACTCTCTTACCAAAAACATAAAGAAGACCCTAACAAAACCCAAACTAGCCCAGAACAGTCTGATCAAAATAAAGGTTATCAGTTACATAGCTAGAAATATCACAGTGACCAGAATTGCCCCCCCAAATTATAAATTAACCATGGCCTCATTTATCCTTAGCTTTAATAAATTTCATTAATTAGGTTCAAGTTAAATTTCTGTAAGATAAAAGCACTGACTAAAAACGAATTTATTAAAGATCAAACAAGTGATAAACCACAAAAAGTTTTTTTTTTTTTTGGAGACAGAGCTTCAAGCTGTCCCCGTGGGTAGAGTGCCGTGGCATCACAGCTCACAGAAACCTCCAACTCCTGGGCTCAAGCGAGTCTCCTGCCTCTGCCTCCCAAGTAGCTGGGACCACAGACGCTCGCCACAACGCCTGGCTATTTTTTTTTTTTTGGTTGTAGCCATTATCGTTGTTTGGTGGGCCCGGGCTGGATTTGAACCCACCACCTTAGGTGTATGTGGCTGGCGCCTTAGCCACTTGAGCCACAGGCACCGAGCCCAAAAACAGTTTTTAAATAAGTGTATGGTGTTTCCCCAAAAATAAGCCCTACCCCGATAACAAGACCTAGTGATGGGCTTAGATACATTGCATAGCCATGCTATGCAGTTCCGCGTGGAGTGGTAAGGAAGACTGGAATACCTTTTATCTGCCACAGCTCCTTTCTCCTAGCCATTCGCACTTGCGCGGGTGCGCGTGTGGTAACCACGGTTGCAGGCATCCTATTGTGCACGTGTTAATGGCTAGGGGAAAGGAGTTCATGTATCACTAGCTCCAGCCCCACCAGCAATGTCAGCTCCCCCAGTCAGGTTCCAGAAGATGACTTAACTGTATTTGAATAAATGCAAACTGCTGTATTATACTAAATCAAAATAACACATCCCCTGAAAATAAGCCCTACTGAGTCTTCTTGAGAAAAAAAAAAAGTAAGACAATGTCTTATTTTCGGGGAAAGACGGTAAGATAAGTGTAGCTGGAGCCCTTAGCTCAGTGGGTAGGGTGCTGGCCATATAAACCGAGGCTGGTGGGTTCTAACCCAGCCCAGGTCAGCTAAACAACAACAACAAAAATAGCTGGGCCTTGTGGCAGGCACCTGTAGTCCCAGCTACTTGGGAAGCAGAGGCACAAGAATTGTTTAAGCCCAAGAGTTTGAGGTTGCTGTGAGCTGTGACGCCATGGCACTCTACCAAAAGGGACAGAGTGAGACTGTGTCTCAAAATAAATAAATAAAATAGCTAGCTGGGTGTTGTGGTGGGCGCCTATAGTCCTAGCTACTTGGGAGGCTGAGGCAAGAGAATCGCCTAAGCCCAGGAATTGAAGGTTGCTGTGAGTTGTGACATCACAGCAGTCTACTGAGGGTGATAAAGCTAGACTGTCTCTATTAAAAAAAAAAAAAAACCCAATAAAATAAAAATTAAAAAAAAATCAAATAAATAAATGTCGATCTATTTTTAACTGTATTTCAATCTTTTTTACAGACTAATTTAAGTAGCAACAAATTAACAAAAAAGCACTTCCATTAAGTTCATACACATGTATGTGTATACACTACACTATCAGCTATCTTAACTAAATGAGCAGAAAATAAAACATTTTCTCAAGAACATCTGAAATAAGAGCTTTCCTTTTGGGAATGTGCACTTTGAATTTAGACATTATCTATTTGCTCTGTCTAGCGCTTAAAATGAGTTTGGAATTCTTGGGTAAGTTACTTAATCTCTCTAAGCCTGATGGACTTAACTCACAACATGGTTGTTCTGAAGATTCTTTAAATATACCCAAAGACTGTTAGCATATAACACATGATAGTCATACAGTAAATGCTAGTTTAGTTACTATAATCCTTGAGACAGAGCCTCAAGCTGTCCCCCTGGGTAGAGTGCCGTGGCATCAAAGCTCACAGCAACCTCCAACTCCTGGGCTCAAGTCTCAGGCTCCCAAGTAGCTGTGACCACAGGCGTCCGCCACAACGCCCGGCTATTTTTTGGTTGCAGCTGTCACTGTTTGGCGGGCCTGGGCCAAAACCACCATCTTAGGTGTATGTGGCTGGCGCCTTAGCCACTTGAGCCACAGGCCCCGAGCCCATGACTATCTTTCATCCGAACTATCATGACAGCTGTCCACCCAGGCTCATTGTTGTTTGGCGGGCCCAAGTTGGATTTGAACCCGACACCTTAGGTGTATGTAGCTGACACCTTCGCCACAGGCGCCTAGCCTATAATCCTAAAAATTAATACAATAAATTCAGCGTTCAAAACAACTGAATTTTAATAGGATTATTCATACTTGCAACTTTTCGGATTAATGACACAAAAATATGAGAATGTTACACAAGTGTTTAGGTTTTGTTCTTGATCCGTTAGTTAATGATTAAAATAATTTTATCCTTAATCACACATTAAGGTAATCTGTGCTATATGACAAAAGATAAACACCGTTTCAGAATGACGATCACCTACCGACTTCTGCTCCTTGTCCTACTCCTGCTTCTAGTCCTATGCCTGTGTCTTGATCTTGAGCGGGAGCGAGATCTGATCCTCCGTTTTCTTTCCCTGCTTCTGGATCGTGATTTCTTCCTGTCTCTGCTTCTAGATCGTGACTTCTTCCGCTCCCTACTTCTGGATCGAGACTTCTTCCGCTCCCTGCTTCTACTACGATGGCGTCTGAAATGAATGCACACAAATTTGTAGTTACTCAAGAGTTATGTCAGTTCAATTATACATATTATGAATTATTTATAGTGATGCAATCAAGATTGACAATAAAATAAACTATTCTGTATTATTTACAGATAGGATTATTGAGGTTTTCAAAGCAGTTACAAACTAGATATGGACCTTCATACTTATTTCATGATGACCCTCCTAGGGAATACAGTAAAGCTGTAACAGACCAAAAACCTTCAATCCCAAATAAGACTGTGTTTAATAAAGTCTACTTACTGCCCTAGGAAAGTACTTACAATTTAAGTTTATTACTGAAAAATTTTGAGACTCTTGACACTACACATGTATTCGCCACAGAATTCTCCAAATAAGATTGTACACACCGGTTTCTCTCTCTCTCTCTCTTTTTTTTTTGAGACAGAGCCTCAAGCTGTCCCCCTGGGTAGAGTGATGTGGCATCACAGCTCACAGCAACCTCCAACTCCTGGGCTCAAGCAA